TCCCCATTGCGGTGCTCGACATTGAGACCTCCAAGAGCTTTCATTTGGATTTTGGGATGAACGAAAGTTCAACCGGTACGTCAAGCTATCATTGCCGGGAATTTCATGATGTTTTTTCCAAATATTATTGTTTTTAATAGTAAACATATGTTTTTCCAAATATTATTGTTTCTAGAAGTAACATATTTTTTATAGTAGTGTTTGTTTCGGTCGTTGGATGTTTTATTTCGTCGTCTCCACAACTCAACATTGAAGTGTTTTGTGACGTGATTACTATATATGGATGTATTTCTTTTATTGCTTGAAAAGTTGTAAGACTTTCGTAATATGTTAGAAAGTTTTTTTCACGATGGAGTCATGGACATTAACAGGCCCGATAAATTAATAATAGAGTGGGTCTTGTGCCATATTTGTAAGAGACCCAAATTTCATATACATATTGTTAAATTTTGGGCTCGAAAATATGCATTTTACAAACAAAACTATGGGCCAATAACCGGGTCTTCACATTTTACTCTTTTTTTCTTTTTTTTTAAATAGATACCGATTATATTGAACTCAAGCACATTACAAAGGGAATGACATAACCCTTTTAGGCAAACACCAAGCCATCTTTCACCAAGCCATCATCACGGGAAAAGATAGAGCCACAAATCAATAAGCATCAGAGAACTATGTAACACCTTGGAAGGATTTAAACCATAAATATAGGTAACTTCGATCGTCTTGTCTTTGCCGAGCCGTAGCGATAATTGGGGAGGTCATCTCTTGTTTCTCCAATCCAGCAAGCTTCGATCTGAGTGTGGTTTTGATGTCTTTGACTACCTGAGCAACTTTTTTTGTGAAGAGAGCTATGCAATCTTGCGTTTCTCTTCACATTATAATTGATCTCCTTTAACGCCATTTCGATGCTATAGACTCAGAATCAAGAGAGAAAAACATTACAAAAAGACACAAATTATAGCAACATGAAAGACGTTATCTTGGACATGATGCATTGCAGTATTGCACTCTCATTCATAAAATATTGGCAATTACAATTAGTCCATGCATGCATTTAAAAATTAATTTAATTTTGCTAAAATATCTCTATAATATTCAGTGACATTTCTACAATTCAATGTATCATAATTTTCATTGATCCCAACACTTATGTAACGAAGTCATTGCTGATTTTCTGAAACCAGTCAGATTTGTATGGTTATATATTTATTGCAAAAATAGAAATACAAGTCTCGGAGCTATATATAAAGTCTACTCCACTACAAAACCTCAAAAGTGTAAATTTGTAAGAGAACAAAAGGATAGCTTATCTGTGTAACTTTAAAGTAACGGTGTATAGTGATGGTAATAGCACCAAATTGACGTACGTTATTAGAATTGTGTTCGTGAATAGAAATAAAGATGAGATTCTTTAAAGGTGGATAAAAAATCAACGGCCAAGGTGAAGCATATACTTTTCATATGTCATATACCTTGCATACTAATAAATGAACTAATTGACCCTCAACAATTCGTAACACTTTACATTAGGGGAAAGAAAAGATACAATTTTCAAAGAAAAAAACTATTGATTGGATTAGAATTTTGAAGCTTTTGTATACTTTTTGGCGTACATACGTAATGGAGAACAACAAAGCAGAAGCATGCGTGGCACGTGTCAACAGAATCTGAACATGTTGCTGGATTCCCTACGCATCTCGGTTTGTATAGCTAAATTTTTCCTTTTTTTCCTTTTTTATGAAGTGGTTAAATCACTTACACTTGTTTACATTGATTTTATTTTTCAACATCATTTACTTTTTAACACTCCACACCATATTCTCAAAACTTAATATAAACAAGTTTAAGTGGTTTTATCTTTTTATATACTCAACACTCATTTAATTTTCACACTATACAATGTTTTGTTTAATAAATTTTAATACTCTAAAACTTGTTTTT